GCTTTTATGTCTTCTTACACGACGCCATGTGCTGATTGCAAATAATGAGAAGGAAGTTGGATCTGTTGTCTTGCCTTTTGGAGAATGAAAGAGAGGTAAAATAAACAAAATTTGTTATTTTTTATCTAAATAAAGGTGAATCTCAATAAAGAAAAATTGAATATATATGTATATATGTGTGTGTGTGTGTGTGTGTGTGTGTGTGTGTATGTATGTATGTGTATATATATATATATATATATGTATATATGTATATATGTATATATGTATGTATGTATGTATATATGTATATATGTATGTATATATGTATGTATGTATGTATATATGTATATATGTATATATGTATTTATATATGTATATATGTATATATATATATATGTATATATATATATACGTACATATATATATATATGTATATATACATAAATATATGTATATATACATAAATGTATATATATATATATTTGTATATATACATATATATACATATATATATGTGTATGTATATATATATATATATATATATATATATATATATATATATATATATATAATCACTCTAAATTTAGGTTTTATATATATTGCTGTAAAATCAAATAACTTGTATGTATGCCCTTATAGTTAATTTTTACTTAGCAAATAGCAAATCATCTTTAACTAAATGTATATAGTTGAATATATAACTCATATATCTTTGAAAAAATAAATTTAACTATTTTAGTAAAATAAAATTAGTTATATATTTTACTAACTTATAAAATTAAATAACATGTATACCCATATCTATATAGTTTAAGATATATTTAATAAATTAGTTAATGTTAACCCGAGACATGGATATTCCTAGGAGGGGTATTATATAAAGGATATCAATATTTGTGTATCGGGTTACCGGATTATCGAGTTATCGGATTCACCCGACAACAATCTTCGAAGAGTGGGTGGGTGTGACATTAAAGTCTGCTCCACTGCTTCTACTTTAAACCTACAACAGATTACGTGGCTCCTCCTTTTACCAATAAAAGGCGCATAAGTGGGTCGTCTTTGGCGATCGACAGAGCTCCACGTTGCTGGTCTCATTACCCCGCACGAACAGTAGACTGCGCAAGCTGATGAGAGGCCCCGACTCGATCGCCGTTTTAGCCCCTCCTTGAGGAAAGCGGGAAGAGAGTAACGATGGGGAACGAGGGCACCGCCACCTCCGCCGCCGACGTTGGCCCAGTTGTGGAAGTCAAGAACCTCCGTTTCACGTACCCCGGGATCGACGGGCACCCTCCTCCGGGGTCTGCCCCCCTCATCGACGGTTTCTCCCTCTCCCTCCGCGCCGGCGATCGATGCCTCCTGGTCGGAACCAATGGTGCCGGTTGGTCCTCACTTATTCTCTCCACCGATTTGCGTCGCTTGCGTTCAAGAAGTTGAGATCTTCGACATGTTTCTGAGGTGGAAATTCTTGATTTTTTTCTTGGTTTGTTTTTGGATCTGTTAGGGAAGACCACGATACTGAAGATACTAGGAGGGAAGCACATGGTGGACCCGGAGATGGTCCGGATCCTGGGTAGGTCGGCCTTCCATGACACCGCTCTAACCTCTTCTGGTGATCTTTCTTACTTGGGTGGAGAGGTAAGGGATAGGATGGTCAAGAAATGATCCTTATAGTCTTTAATTATGTGATATTAGACAAATAATGTAGGAGCTTCTCTGCTTGTGATCTTCTATTGAGAGAAGAAAGGAGTTTTAGATGATTGTTGGTACTTCTCTCGTTTTGCATGAGCATCCTTCAAGTACAAGCAAATTGCACATGATTATGTATGTATGAGAAAAAATAATAAAAATATTTTTTAATAGATATAATATTAAAAGAGAATATTTTGAACAAAATTTGTCCTAATTGCTCCATTTGCAACGTAACTTGTTACTTTCTCTTTTTAAGGATAGTGATGTGCTGAATATTATGGCAATTTATTGAGAAAGATTGTGTTAACTCATTATCATGACATATAGTGCAGAGCAGAGTTTTTTTTTCTCTATCCAAAGTCGCTATTTTGACTCCCTTTGCAATTTATTTTGTGCATTTGTATCAAGCAATGAAATGTTTGTATACTTGGATAACATACCTAAAGAAGTTTGAATTTTATATAAGAAGGCTATCACATGTCTTCAACCAACCATCAAAAAGGATTGTTTTATGATTAAGTTGACACTTTAGATGTGTGAGGGCATGAGGTCAATCACATGTATATGCACCTTATACCTTCTCTTTTTTCCTTCGATCTTTACACGTACACACTCTTGACTTCTCACTATTTATGAATATCAAAGCATTTGTTATCATAGCTCATGTAAAATGACAATCATAACTAGCACCTTAGATACGTTTAGGGCTCTGCATTTGAGTGTTTTACTTGTGCCACATTCAAGGATTCATGTGCCTGCTAGTATATGCCCGAAGCATGTCAACACATCTCCGTGATGAAAGGTACTGACGCATCCTCATAAAATGAAATGTGACTTTCTCATAAATCTTAGATCTTGTATATGAGCCTTAAGAGGAATTTGTTACTCTATTTTGGACTAGTTTAAACAATAGAATAGTTCTATCAGGAGACATGTAAATATCTTTACCTCCGTTATAACAAATTATTTTCTGAAGAGTTACAGTATTTATACCATCATCACAACGAAGTATAGGTTGGCCAACTTTCACATGATAAGTTTGGATTGCATGACTAGCTCTTTAAATTGTATAAATCATTGTGTACATTGCATAACACATATGTTTATGTTCTTATTTGACTAGTAGATTACGTGAACACCATCTTTATGCATGTTGATGCAGTGGCGGCGAGATGTTGCTTTTGCTGGTTTTGGGGTCTCGATACAAATGGACATTTCTGCTGAGAAGATGATATATGGTGTTTCTGGCGTTGATCCTCAAAGGAGAGACGAACTGATTAATGTATGTAGTATCTAATCTCATGTGGTTTGTAGCATACATAATTGCCTTTCAACTTACTATTTGTTATTAATGTTGTTACTCTGCCTAATTTTTCGTGAAAGAAGGAATGCATGAGAAACAAAGAAGAGCGGAGTTAACAATGTATCTCAGTTAAAATTACTTGAAATGGGCTGCTCGACCATGGTTATGCAGGTTTTAGACATTGATTTATCATGGAGAATGCACAAAGCATCTGATGGTCAAAGAAGACGAATTCAAATATGCATGGGACTGCTTAAGCCATTTAAGGTCTGTCACCTTTGTGCATAGTAAACCTGTAATCATATTAGTTAAAGGACAAATAGTTTTTAAAAGCCGTAATCATAATATTGCTTTTTTAGGTTCTTCTTCTTGACGAAATAACAGTGGACTTAGATGTCCTTGCAAGAGCTAACCTTTTAAGATATCTAAGTAAGGAGTGTGAAGAACGAGGTGCCACAATTATCTACGCAACTCATATTTTTGATGGTCTTGAAGACTGGCCAACACATGTTGTAAGTTCACCACATAAGATCTTGTTTTCTGAAGTCCTGTGGGATTATTTTCCTTAACGTCGATATACTGTTGATAACAGGTATATGTTGCTCATGGGAAATTGCAGTTAGCAGTACCTTTGGAGAAAGTTAAGGAGATGAGTAACTTATCTTTAATGGTAAGTGAATTCTTTGCGTAGAAATTGATGTGAAGTGAGTCATGACCTAAAGAAAACAAATGGGGAATTTCAGTTGTCATGTTTTGATTGTATATATTGTACATGATAATCTGTGTTCTCTATTTTTATTAGCTCAGTGTACTTTATTTTGTTACTAGAGAATACATGAAACTTAGACTAAATTATGTGAAGCCAGAACAGATAGACTGTCATTCGACAAATACACAGATGGTGGACCTAATATAAATTTAGAAGGGAAGCATGAAGATGGGATCAGTGCATTGTAATACCGTAGTATTCCTGAACTTTGATGGACTAGATGTTTCATTATATTGTTTGCATGTCCATTTTTGAAGAAGCTATAAACTGATGTAGACCTATATTAGTTTGTAGTTGCTTGGCTATTTGCGATGATGTTAATTCTCCTGTTCTCCAGATCAGGTTATAACTAACCTTCTCAATGGCCACATTGTGATGGATACAGTGAATTGAAACAAATGCATTAGCCAGTGATGTATGCATACATAAATGCATGGATGTGCACAAACATGTGGACGGTGCTTGCTTTACTTTTTATTATGAGGTTATTTCAATTTAAGCTCCATTAAACTTTTAGATAGTGGCATAAGAAATAATATTGGTATTTCATGGGTATCGATCATCAGACTAGATTATTATATCTAGTAACAATTACTTCATGATTCTTCAGTTATTCTAGTTTAGATTTGATATATTGGTATCTTATGTGAATTATATGGAATAATTGACAAAATGAAATCTTCTGCTAAGCTTGATTAGGTAGTATATAATAATATTTAATAAAAATAGGTTGATGATTCTTAAATTAGTGTGGTTATGGTCACTATTAAGTATAATTGGTTACATTGGTAGGCTTAATATTTGGTTATTTATACTTTCTAATCAGCCTTTTCTTTGAAATTATATCATTTAGAGAACAGTGGAGAGTTGGCTAAGGAAGGAGAGGGATGAAGACAGGAGGAGGCGACAGGAGAGAAAGGCAATTGGCCTTCCAGAACATGAAAAGCAACTGGAGGGGACACGGGTGACAGGTGATCCAGCCCGGAGTGCAGTTCAAGTAATGAACAATGGTTGGGCAGCGGGGAGACTTCATTCAACTGTAGCAGGTCAGGAGAATTTTTTTCTGAGTTCAAATAGAGTCCTTAGGCAATAACAACTTCTGCATGTTCTTGAGTTTGGTGAATCTCATCTGTTGTGTTTACGAGAACCAAAGAAAATGTTTGGTTATAGGTGCTCATATTCCAAAGATAATTATTGTTGTACTTGAAATATATAGAAAAAATGCAGAGCAGTAATTGTTTGTTGGATTAAATTCACAATATGTATGGTATGGTTTGTATCATCATTTCTTCATAATGGTGGAGACTACATGATCTAGTATTGAGACATGTGAATATTGATCTAATGCTCTGCTTATTGCAACATGTCCATGTAGAATTAGGTCTGGTCAGTCAACAAAGGTAGGGTTACAAAGTAACAGCAAATTGCCTCCTGCTGTAAACAATGCAATTGTGCTTATGGCAATTGTTATAACTGCATCATCATCATCATCATCATCATTCTCCTTTGTTTACCATATTTTGTCAAGAGAATTATGTTGGCATCCTCAAAAATTTATCAGAAAAAGTTCTAATTTATATTTTTATTTTGACTCAAATCTCTTTCTCTCTCTTTATGAGAAGGTATGGCATGCCATTATCTTTGTGCAGCTTTGTGCACCCAACATTCTTCTCATCTTTGTAAGCAGCTGTGAATCTGTAGTCACCTTTGGGTTTGTGCACTCACCAGTCACGGTCTCAGACATGTTCCCCTTCAAAGTGGAATACTCAGGTCATGGGATCAACTTTCCAAAAGCTCTATATGTGGTTTAAGACTTCAGATTAATAGTGTGCTTTTTAGTCTCAAATACATACGGTTACCTCTCTTTGGACAAGAGGGAATCACATAAGTATGTTGAAGCCATGATTACTACTTATTTGGTGATGTCAAGCCAGACCTAACCTCAGTTTTGGAAACGATGGCTTCGGTTCTTCGGTAAAATTAAAAATTTTAGAAATTTAGAATCGAAATTGAATCAGTTTTATGTGGTTTTTCCATTCCGGTTTTGATTCTTCGGTAAAATTTTAAATTTTAGAAATTTATAATCGAAATTGAATCAGTTTTATGTGGTTTTTCCATTCCGGTTTTGAATCGAACTGTCATTTTTTTAATTATTTTTTTTATTAATGTTTATTTTAAATTTGTAATATTATTTATTTATTTTTTTTCTTTCCGATCCGAATCGAATAGAAATCGTCTATTTTGGTCAAATTTAATTCAGTTTGAAACCGTGGAACCATTGATTTTTTTTATCGTTTCTGATTCAAATTGCAACAATAGTTTCTGTTCTGTCCTACTTTGAAAGATGTGCTCTCGTCCGTCAATGGTTACGAACACGAAGAAACCAATGCCCGTCTCCGCCTTCAACATGCCGTGAGGAGGAGGACCACCTCGGATCGTTATCTACGGTGGCTTTACGGCGCATGCTTCGATTCTGAAGGCTCACCAAGAGAGAACCCTTCAAGAGATGGTGGCTGAATGGATGCCAACTCTTGAATGATTCTACTTTCAATTTGTGGTTCTTTTGTGAAGTAAATTTAATTTAATTATCTTTTCAAATGGGAAATACATCATTAAATAGAGTCATCATGAAACATCACATAAGAATATTACAAATATATATATATATATATATACAATGAATCTAATCTTCATATTTATTTATGGAGATTCATTATGTATTTTTTATCTTCACCAAAGTCTTATTCTTATCTTTTTCCCATTTTCGTATCAAATTGGTACAGAGCTTTGTTCAAAGGGCTTTCCAACTTTAACTTCCTTGTCTCACCGTAGCTGGATATAGTCGACGCAATAGAAGAAGCCAAGATGATGATGGGGCGTGCCAAACAAATATTTCAAAGATTTGAGGAAAGAATAAGAAGATAGACTTCACAAGATTTAGGTATAGATAATCTCTTGTATTAGGAAGAGATTGAAAGATCTTATTAAATAAGAGGGCATATGAACCTTCAAATACTTTTATCATGTCCTAATTCTTATGATGTTCTTTATGCGAGGATTTATCATCATCAAAACTTACTTTTCATGCATCCTCCACCGAGTCCCACTATTCCTCTTATCTTATCAGAAATCATTGGCTTGTGACCTGCAATAGACAAACCAATTGCGAGTCATAAAACTCGAAAACAGACTTAAGAGAAGTCTAGGAAATTTGCCTGCACTGTAAGCTAGGTGCAATGAAGAGACAGAGACAGATAGTTAGAGAGAGAGAGAGAGAGAGAGTGCTGTAACTTGAGGCAACTTGATGTTGATGATGCTTGCGAAGTGTATGCTGCTGATTTGAACCACACAAAAGATGCGTGCTGCTAATGGACACTGAGTGAAGGAAATAATGTTCTTATCTGTGGAAGTTGGAAGTTGGGATCTCAAGCACGGCAATAACGCGGAAGTTACTGTCCCACTACAGTACCATTTGGTCGATGGAATCTTCCTCCAAAATCCCAAAGAACACGAGGGACAGGGAAGAGCAGTGGTTGGCATGGGAAAGGAATGGGAAGCCCACATGAATCCTCCACAAACACAAACACACACACACACTCTCTCTCTTGACATCTTCTTATCCAAGATATGCTCGGAGTATCTTGAGGTGCCCAAGATGAGGGGCAAGGGAGATGAAGCCAACCTCGACCATGCACACCCACATCCTACTTCTCCTACCTCCACTCTCTCTATGTTGCCACAATTGCCTCCATAGCTTTTCAAGGAGACCTACTGGACAAAGAGAGTTTGGCGTTTAGGGAAGACAAGTCGATGGGCGGCTGCCGGTAGTGGTGGCGGCTTTTGGAATCTAGAGCATGCACCGGCACACAAGCCTACCGATGCCATCATTGCTGCTCGCCATTGCGCATGTGAATGTGTTTGTGTGTGTGTGTGTCTGTGTGTGTGAGAGAGAGACGGAGAGAGAGAGAGAGAGAGAGAGAGCAATAACGATTATTCCCGCATGTCATTCCGAGATCGCTTTCGGTTCGTCAAAAGGACATCAACTTTGGCCTCCGTGCCTCACGCTCACCACTCTTGCGAATTAAGAAGCTGTTCTTTAATGGCTGCCCTCCTTTATTTGATTCCCATTCAATTACACATTCATGATTGATCTGTTCGTTCATGGACTTCTCATGGTGCAATGCATGGTGTCTAGCATTTCCCACGCACTCACAAGCACACCGAAGCGCCTCTTTTTGTTTGCTGAAGAACAAGGTGGAGAGCCTCTGCATGTGCTCTCAAAACCCAACAATTACCCCACTTGATTGGTGCGATGAGAAGCCAATCTGAGACAAATTGTAGCACACTAGCTTTTAGCCTTTAAGGTTTATGTCAGCAAGTGCATAGGTTAATTTATAGAATGTAATTAGACTGCATGTTCTTGGTACTGAAAAATAAATTTTAGTCCTGATTGTGATGACGTCTGGAGCCATGTGTACAAAATGATTAAGGTGATTGATAAGAAGGGTCGAACGTACCTCCGGATTGACGTAAACATAGATACGTATACGAAGATTGAGATCGGATGAGTATTTCAATTTGATCTCTCAGACGCTCAAGTTAGTAAACAATTATCGTCTTTGGTTAGCATTTTATAATGGAACGATAGAGAGAAATATTTCATGAAATATTCCAACCCTAATGCATAAACAATGTTCCCTAAACATTATTTTAGATTGATGTCCACATTATAGTCAAGTCTTGCCCTCTCACTGTATTGCTTGTGTCGAGCCACCGATGGGGGAGAAGATTTCCCTTGTCAAGTCCAAAATCTGGTTTTTAATCTCATGAAGAGTAATCTCTCAGCAAGAAATTTTCCTTTTAAATGAAAGAGAGAATCCATTAGCAGTTTGGATGAACATATGCAGAGATATGTGTTGATCGCTGTAAAACAGAGCACTTGCTTCCAACATCAGTATAGTACAGATGCTCATCTCAGACAACTATTACATTGAGTATAAGATGAAGTCCTTTTACTTTGGTGTACATTTCTACACCACCGTGTGCTTGCTATGCAACACTGTAATGTAACTACATCAGTAGCACCTATCTGAGCCAATGGCCATGATCGAAGAAGGAAATCCCTCCAGCAAGCACGATACAGGAGGGATCGTCTGCGTCGCCATCACGCCGTAAACGTTCCAACAGAATGGATTGGAGATGAAGTATGCTTGAGCTGGAAGGAGCACCACCTCCGACAGGGTGATGTTGGTGCAGGGGACGGAGTCACTGCACCCGAAATGGATGGGCGGACTCCTGACGTCGTATGTGCCCTTGATGCCGGTGTATGATACGTCCGATACGTAGACTGCCGACGTCTGGTTCTTGCACGACTTGGAGAGGCAGTAGTACTGGTCGATGATGATGGGGTTCTTCACGGCGTCCATGCGGATGTTGTCGAAGGAGACAGATGATACTGATCCTGACCCACCTTGCCATGTCTTGATCCTGACCCCGTTATCCGAATGCCTAATCACTGAATTCTTTACTGTTATGTTCGTCACGCAAGCTCGAGTGTTCTTCGTGCCCAGGCTCCCAATGCTGAACCGGGAATCTGATTGAGTTGGATTCATGCTCGCAAGAAGATCTAGGAAGGAAAAAAGAAGTGTTTCTGGCGATACCTGATTCCATGGCTTGGCCCACAGGTCACGTTTCTTATGTCTATGTTGATGCTACCAGCTCCGATGGATATGCAATCATCTCCTGTTGAGATCATGAGTCTTAGGATACCGAAACGGAAGCAAATCTGAGACGATGGAGGAAACAGTGATGAGTTACCGCTGGAGATGACTGAGTTGTAGATTCCAACCATCTCGGTGTTCTCGACGTGGATGCCATCAGTGTTGGGGCTAAGCGCGGGTGAGCTGATCGAGATTGCGTCGACGGTGACGTTCCGGCAGTTGTCGAACCGGAAGTGGAACTGGGGACTGTTCTGGACTCTGATCCCGTGTACTATGAGGTTTGAGCTCATGAAGAACCTCAAAGCCTGTAAGGAACGAGAAGAAAGCTTAGTTGTCGTGAAACCTTCCGGCTGATGATGACAGGTAATTCGGTTGAGCTTACCACAGGGCTGTCGCATGGCCCCGACAATGTCGTGCCATTTGGCCCCTGCGAAGTCAGAAGAGTAATGTTAGATCTTGTCATGATCCTGCTTCTTGTGGCTTACAAGTTTGTTCGTGGATACCTTGTGAGGTTTGCAGGGGAGGTTCCACCACTTCTCTCCTCTCCCGTCGATGACTCCTCTTCCTTGCAGCTTCAACCCGTTGGCTCTGTAGAACACGAGCCACTGCCGCCGGTTGTTGTTCCGAGGCCACTCGTCTGGGCCGTCGGGGGGCATGATTGTTCCATCAACCTTGACATAGAATTAGCATCAGCATCCGCTCTGGACACGACGAGAGGGAAGATGAGGGCGTACCTGAAACGTGAGCTCACTGTGGCAAGGACCTGCGAAGATGGTCGACAGGATCTTGAAAGCGTAGCCCTGCGGGACAAGGATGGTTCCCGGCCCGTCTTGGCAGGCAATATCCCACGCGGTCTTGAATGCTTCGGTGTCATCGGCGACTCCATCGCCTACTGCTCCGAAGGCTCGCACGTCGAGCACCGCAGTGGCGTTCGAGGAATTGCGGGTCGCCGTCCCTGCGTCGACAGGCGCAGGAAGGGGAGGTGGAGAGGAAACGGGAGTGCTCGTACTAGTCGAGTTCGTAGAATTCCCACTATAGCCTGCACCAATAGGCTCAGAAGGAGGGTATGCACTAGTGGTGTTTGTCGAATTCCCACTATAACCTGTACTAGTGGAGTTCGCAGAGTTCCCACTATAGCTTGGGTGGACGGGCTGAGGAGCAAGAGCAGGAGGAAGACTAATGGAATTTGCAGGAACTACAGCTTGAGATGGAGGTTCTGCCATTGGAGGCCGAGCAATGCCGTAATGGAATCTTCCATGAACAGAAGTACAACCGAAGCCAGACCAAACGAGGACAAGCAATAGGAGCATCTTGCTCACTTCCATTTGTGCTTGGCCTATGAACACTGCCAAATGTGCTGGAACAAAGCCAAGATATGGCAGCTATTTATAATACACAAAGCCTGGCTCTCGCTCTCCGATTCACAATGACCTCATGGATTTTACGGCGGAGGGCGGTTGTCGTTGTCTTAGAAACTGCATGCGGCAAGTGGAGGAGAATGCATGCGAGCAAGGGTTGCGGAACTGAGGCTCAGCAGAGGGCAATGGGAGATGAGGTACGCCACAAGGGAGGGATGGAAGATTTGGATGATTGACTAAGCCATTTTTATAGGGTGAGGAGGGGGAGGTGGTGGCTGGGTCTTCCTTTGTGGCTCTCCTGCTGCTGCACGATGCATTATTCTATCGGTGGCGACCGACCAGTTCCATGCGTGCATGGCTTTTTGAGAATGTGGAGTCTGCATATCATACAAGGGGGAAGGGAGAGGAGGAAAGGTAAAGGTGGTGAGAGCATGGTGATTCTTGGGGACCAAATGGAGGAGGAGGAAGAAGATAGACTTGGTTGTGATCACTTGATTCAGGTGCATTAAGTGTATTAGACTGGACTCTCTCAATGACTTTTGCAACTGTTGCATTGCATGTGGCCATTGATACAGAAGCTTTATCCAATTTGTTCTCTCTCTCTCTCTCTCTCTCTCTCTCTCTCTCTCTCTCTCTCTCTCTCTCTCTCTTTTTCTATCTCTGTGCTTTCATTTCTGGGGTCTGTAACTCCGCAAGAGGAGTTTATCTTTGATACGTTGCTTGATGACAGTGTTTAGAGGTATTAAAAATGCTTGCTGAAGTTGGAAAAGCCAGAAGGCAAGGCTGTAATTGGTGAGGTATTGGAGTTGGGGATTGGATAGGGTTGGCTAGAGATAAGTGGGACGGCTGCCAGTGGGATTCCGTCTCAGTAAACTTGTTGCTGTAGAGCAGCACTGTATCTGTTCTTGAATCTTCTGATTGCTAATGGGATTAAGGCCTGTCCAATGGATACAAAGTCATATCTAAGTGCTCTCAAGTGCTTCTTCAAACATGACTTCATGTCACTTGTGTCACTGAAACATGTAATATAAATTGTCTCTTCGTATCTAAAGGTTCAAATGATTTTATGCATGGTAAATAATAAGGGGAATACAGATTAAATAACTAGGTTTAAGGCATCTTTAAACAGGCTGTTTAATGATGATAATTATTTTTTTTCAAATCTAAAAATCAGAAATATATATATATACATATAAATATTCCATCACAATTCTACTACATCAAGCTCCTAAAATGCCAAACTTGAAATTTTTGGATAGCTTATAAGGAATGCAGATAGTTCAAGTGACATCTATGGACAACATTGACCTTGCTAAATATATTATTTATATACATATATCAAACATTCTAGGATAATGTTTTTTATTGGTCGATGAACTTAAGTCTTTCACTTCTGAATAGAAAATATTTGAGTCAAGAGTGACATCAGTGATTCTATTTTAATTTGCTTGGTGAACAGTGTCCTGTGAGTCACAAAACTCATCTGCTATGAGATGATTGCTTGCTATTGGTGTATTAATACAGTCAATAAATAACAGATGTGAACTTTTCAGTGCATAATCTCAAATTAAAACGATTAATTAGAACATAATACAGTATGTTGCAATCATATTCAAGTAGGATTAGCAGTTCAATCAGTGGGTTAACTACACTTCTATTCTTGGATGTCTCCTCAAGTTTGAGGTCGAACGACTCATCTCTTTTCTCTTCAAACGCCAATCGTTGTGTGCTGTATCTTAATTTCAATTGGAAGTAACATCTATGCATGTAATCATCACTCGTGGACTGTTTCAATTGCAAGTAATCAAATGTCCCCAAATTAATTTTCGTTAAAAGATGATGTGCAGCCACTAATTCAAAGTGGCACCTTTCCTTGCCACTTGCTATTGGACAATAAGATTTACGTGCCACAAGTTCTTATGATCGTAGCATTAGCTTCTATCATATATCATTTGACCTAAACAAATGTCATCGAATACAAATAAGAAATCAAAATGCTAGTGCCCTCACTCACGGAAGAAGATGTCGTCCCTCCAATGACAATGAAGAGTAAGGAGAAAACAACAGTATCCAATTCTTTAGTCAACGCATCTGTTACATCTCTCTATCTCTCTCTCTCTCACTCATGAGCTCCGCTACAGAAAGAGATGTCTTCAGTGGTGAACCAATATGAGCTATAGTGTGGCCCATCACTGGATGGTTCTCTCTTTCCTAGGTTGGTAGAACCACTTCAGTCTATTCTACTGTTAATAATGTGGCCAATCTCCTCCTAAATCTGTGCAGTTTCTACAGCATTCACAGAGTTAATCAATTCCATATTGTTTCTAAAATGAGAGGATATAAAAGCATGGGAAATTTCTTTTCATATGTATACTAACAATACGTCATATATAGAACATCTTAACATTTGATACATATAATATCAAAATATGTAAGGATAAATATACCAGCTTAGATAGTAAAGATTTTAATAATACATACAATTACATCTCTTATGCTCCAACATCATCAAAAGTTGTTGAATTAGATTATATAGATGGATATAAACAACAGTGCCATGTAGAGAGGACTGTTATATAAGTCCATCCTCCCCTTCATTCAAAAGAAAACAAGGTTGGTTGCCTCTCAGTACAGATTAATGTTCTTTCGTTTGAGTCACAGGCATCTCCTGTTTCAAGTCTCCTCAACACTCCGGATGAGCAACCTCTTCTTCTTCTCCACTATCTGTGCCTTCTCTCTCTGGGCCATAAGCCGTTGTTGGACTAGGCAACAGCTTTTCTAGGTCAGTTGGCAAGAAGGTTTCTTCTCTGGTTGGCAGCAATCTGTACTCAGGATGTTCTCCTTCATGCATTCGACTTGGACTTTTAACCGGTTGGCTGACAACATGTAAACTTTTCTGGAATCCAGTCGCGATCTTCTAACTCAATACAGTAATTTGTTCGTGATAGATAAACTGACAGAGCCGTACGCCTTCGTTCTTCTTTCTTTTAACTCAATACAGTAAGGTATGATTGTCTTTCCATGTTTTCTGGAATTTTACTTCGCCATTGGTGAGAGTAGCCACGAGATGAAGCAAAACACTGCTTCGATTGAATTAAACGATCGTCTTTTTTCTCCTCTCTCGGAATCTTAATCTTAGGACTTTCTAAAGTTGACTTTGGCCTGATGGAATTTGGACCTTAAGTTCATATAATTGAGCTATTACTTGGAATACTTTATGAGCTAATGATCAATTCCTCTGCAGGCTTCTCAATCTTACAGTAAGTGATTAGCAAATAAACTACTCCAAACTATGATTTTGACCCTATGTTCTATACAAATAATGAAGCTGTTCCACAGAATGAAGTCTGAATCAAGGAATAGCAGAAGATACCCAAAGATGACAAGACACTAATTAAGCAGCTCAGGATCAAACATGGAGACCTTCCTATTCTTGATTGCCGGAAAGATCAGCTCTGCATTAGGTGGGGAGGCCGTCAAAGGTGCAAGCTTCCTCTTCGGGCGTGATCTGTCCATGTCACTGCTCACACAAGTCGAAGGGTTGATGGGCCGCATCAAAACTAAGTTCGACACGCGGAAGTACAACACGACCGTGCATCCGTGGCTCAAACGGATCAGAGACACAGCGCATGACGCAGAATTAACTATTTCATTAAATAATGAGAAAAATATTTATTTTTATTATCCTCACAGTTACTATTTTTTTAAAAAAAAATTAATCATAAATTAAATATTTTTATTATTAAAAAAATATAATATATATTTCTTCCTATGCTAATGAGATTTTATTTTAAATAAAAAATAAACATCACTTCAATATTTTTTTATCAAATTTATCATTCAAAGTAATCATTCCTTTCCCTTCCACTTGAATCTGGCATTTTTCATCTATACTATATATCTGATTGAATCCGTATGCTTTTGAAATAAATTTTTGCCTCCTATTATATAATTAATACATCCACTATCTAAAAATCAAATAGATATAGAATATTCTTCATCAAATGCTATAAAGAAAATATTTTCTTAATTATTTTTATTATTTTATTATATGATAAATATTTTTATTTATTTTTATTTAATAATCTTTTTCAAGATGACTAAATTTTTTATGATCAGAGTAAAGAAAAATATTTAGATTTTTATTTTTGTATTGGTAATCTTTTTTAATATATCTAATTTTTTATAGTAAAAATATTAATAAGTTTCTTTATTACCTTCATTAAAGAGTTCTGTTCATTCTTATTTGATTGACCTTGTCCCTTGCCTCGAGCGCCAAATCGTTCAACAATTTTTAAAGTTTTTTTGATCTATCCACTTTTGAATCTATTGATTGGATAATATATTTAAATCTTTAGCTTCTTCCATAATAATAGAAATCATATCAAATTTTGAAGATAAATTCTATAAAATATTTTCTACTATTATTTGATCTTTAAAGTTTTCATCATAAGACTTCATTTGGTTCACAATAGAAGAAACATTTGAGGAAAAAATAATATTATGATCTTATACATCATACTCAACAATATCATTTTTTACTAAATTTCATAATTCTTATGAGCTCAAAATCGATAATTTTCACCTTAAAGATACGAAGAAGTTGATTAGAAATACTTACTCTAATGTTTGTCATCCTTTTATTTTTATTTATTTTTTGATCTATTTGTCTTCCTTTCTTTTTTTAATCGATAAACTCTTATTGATCTTTTTCAACTTAGACTATGATACCACTCTTATTAGCTTTCTACAAAATTTCAATGAGAAAAAAAAAGAATATAGTAAAAATAACGAGGATTACTTCTAATATGTAGTTATTAGGATTCATCCAAAAAATATATATTTATATTAGCTAAAAGTAAAGTATAAATTTTTTAAAATAATAAAAAATTCATCATAGTTCAATAAACCTTTTTATCCCCATCTATTTAATTTAATCTAAATTTTCATTTTTTATTTTATCTAATTTTAATTATTTAAATTAAGATCATCGAACACAGTACCGGATATCCGGCAGTGACGTAAGTGCATCCTTGAGATCTTAAGCCAAAACAGTACGTAGCGAGACTTCCTTCTCTTCGCATACTGCATCAGGTATATGTCTCTCCGATCCATGTTAGTAGTCTCTTCTCTATTCATATTTACTATGGTTCGTGACTTCTCTCTCTAGCTGGCTGGTATATGGATATCTTACTCTTTGTCATTCTTACTTGCACAAG